CCCCGGCAAGTGGGGAACGAAACTCAACGGCCTCTGGGACTCGGCAGAATTCACGCATGTAATCAATGCTGTTAAAAAGCGTCAAGCTCGGACGTCCAGAAATCTGATCGACGTCCGACAAAGNGAAGCCGTCGGGCGCATCCTCGTCGCTCTCCCCGGCAAGTGGGGAACGAAACTCAACGGCCTCTGGGACTCGGCAGAATTCACGCATGTAATCAATGCTGTTAAAAAGCGTCAAGCTCGGACGTCCAGAAATCTGATCGACGTCCGACAAAGCTGGAACCCAAGTTCCAGGCCTAGCGGACCCTGACTTGTCTCCGATCGCCCAGAATGCCTCGAAGTCCGTCGGATCGACTAACGGAGACGAGTACTCTTCCTTCGGAGCCAAGGCTGGAGGCTGCGAACTCGTTCCCTCAGAATTGTGGAAATTGGAACTAGTTGAGGAACGAGTTTTTCTTCCTGAAAACATGTTTGAAGATCTTCAAAGAGAGTGGAGAGAAAAAGTTCTTGAATAAGTTGTAAAAGATGGAGTAAAGAATTCAAAATTTTACTCCATATACTTATAGGAAAGAATTTTACTATTCACCTTTGGACTTTTGACCGTTAAAGTTCCGCCTAATTCCACCAAACTCGCCAAACTCGCCAAACAAGCTCAATCCACTCGCAAGAATCTCACGATTCTTACGAGCTGGGGGGCTAACTGTTGGGGTCAAAATTGGTACGACGGAATTAATAACCAAAACTCCCCGCGAAAGTACCAAAAGAACGGTTTTATAAGACCCGAGGAATGGTTTTATAAAACTGTTCGTCATTTATAAAACTCGCAAACCGTTTTGTAAAACTCGAGAAAATCGATTTATAAAACTCGAGAAATCGTTTTATAAAACTTGAGAATCGTTTTATAAAACTCGAGAAATCGTTTTATAAAACTCGAGAAATCGCTTTATAAAACTCGAGAATCGTTTTATAAAGCTCGAGAATCATTTTATAAGACTCGAGAAATCGTTTTATAAAACTCGAGAAATCATTTTATAAAACTCGAGAATCGTTTTATAAAACTCGAGAAATCGTTTTATAAAACTCGAGAATCGTTTTATAAGACTCGAGAAATCGTTTTATAAAACTCGAGAAATCGTTTTATAAAACTCGAGAATTCGTTTTATAAAACGATAGAAAACGTTTTATCAAACCCAAGAATTCGTTTTATAAAACTCGAGAATCGTTTTATAAAACTCGAGAAATCGTTTTATAAAACTCGAGAAATCGTTTTATAAAACTCGAGAATCGTTTTATAAAACTCGAGAATCGTTTTATAAGACTCGAGAAATTGTTTTATAAAACTCGAGAAATCGTTTTATAAAACTCGAGAAATCGTTTTATAAAACTTGAGAGATCGTTTTATAAAACTCGAGAAATCGTTTGATAAAACTCGAGAATTCGTTTTATAAAACTCGAGAATCGTTTTATAAAACTCGAGAATCGTTTTATAAAACTCAAGAATCGTTTTATAAAACTCGAGAAATCGTTTTATAAAACTCGAGAAATCGTTTTATAAAACTCGATAAATCATTTTATAAAACTCGAGAGATCGTTTTATAAGACTCGAGGAATCGTTTTATAAAACTCGAGAAATCGTTTTATAAAACTCGAGAGATCGTTTTATAAAACTCGAGAGATCGTTTTATAAAACTCGAGAAATCATTTTATAAAACTCGAAGATCGTTTTATAAAACTCGAAAGATCGTTTTATAAAAATCGAAGATCATTTTATAAAACTCGAAGGTCGTTTTATGAAATCCGAAGATCGTTTTATAAAACTCTAGAATCGTTTTACAAAACCGCAAAAAATCGCAAAAACCGAAAAAAGCCGTAATCGCGAACTAAGCCGGACCCGGCTTAGTTCGCCGATGGGCGAACTAGAGACGTCCCGGACACTCCGCGTCTCGATTTCCCGCATTCCAGATTCGAAACTTACGTCTTTCGACAAGGTCGCGTTCTAAACCACGGCCGAAATATCTCACCATGTGCTTGTCATGAAATTAGTAACTGAAACTCACCATGAACGCGAACAAAACTTGATGGCTGAAATTGTTTGTAATCAAAAAAGTGGCTCGAACACCTCGCTTTGAAGTCAGGGGGGGGGAGGAAAGATGAGTTCACAATTCTGCTCAGCGGACGTGTTCAAAGGTTATTTTGATTGGAGGAATGAAAAGGATGAATTTTATGGGATCAAGACTAACCTATTTATAACGTTAGATTCACTCTAATGAGATTCATTGAATGAGGTTGCTAAGATCGAACCCCTGCACATAGCGTATTTCACCCACAATATCTGCGAGTCGATAACTACCTTCGATAAAACATAAGACGCACTGGAGAGCTAACCTTCGATGCATCTATATAAAAGGAGCCTAGAGAATGTGTTATAGGAAGATAAATCGTTCATGGATAGAGAACGTGTATGGAGGAGTAGAAGAGATCGAGTTATGTTAATGAAATCGTCAGAGTAAAAAGCGATCAGTGGAAGAACAATCGCGAATGTGAAGGAAACTCTAGACAGGGGTAAGAGAATACAACTTAACCCAACATAAAATAATATTTTTAAAGCCCATTAAACTCAAACACATAGCCTACTCGACTTATGAAAAAAAGAAATTAAAAAAAGTGAGACCACCTATGATGATGTGGACACCTTTAGTAGAGAGCAAAACTCTCTTTTTATAATATAGATTTGCAGAAAGAAAAATAAAATGTTAACAAGCTATAAGCTTTATTACAGGCCCAACCAAATAAAAAAAATCATAATCTAAAGAATCCAAGTGAATTCCAAGGTCCAAAAGCGCTAAGGAGATAGCGATAGAGATAATTTATATTTTTTCTTCAGAACCGAGGGATGCGGAGGTTACCCAAAAAGGTGCCAGGACCAGATGGGATTACAGATCTGTTCTACTAGAAATTCTGGGATATTGTCAAAGATGATTTAACTCATATGATTTATCAATTCCTTTTTGAAGGATCATTTGCGAATGGTTTTAATAATACTAATAGCTACCTAATCCCAAAGGTAACGAAGCCTATAGAAAAGTCTCAGTTCTGTCCCAGTAGCTTATGCAATGTTAGCTACAAGCTAATGTCTAAGGTCTTATGCCAAAAATTAAAGAGATTTCTAAAGACCGAATCTCTGAGACCCAGTCAGGCTTTGTTGCTAGAAGACAAATTCCAGATAATATTATGATTGCTCAGAAAATGTTTCATGCACTACGAACAAAAGCAAGTGGACAAACCAAAAGGATGGCCAAAATTATGCCATTACCTAAATTAAATTGTAACCGTAAACCAAAATTCTATATCCTAAACCCAAATTCTAAACCCTTACCCTAAAATCTAAACCATATACCCAAACCCAAACTCTATGCTCTAAAATCTAAACCATAAATCCTAAATCCAAACCCTATACCCTAAACACAAACCCTAACCCTAAAAGCTAAACCCTAAACTCTATCTTAAACCCAAACCTTAGATTCTAAACCTAAACCTAAACTCTAAACCTAAATCCTGAATTTAACCCTAAATTGTAAATCAAAACCTTAAATCCTAACTATAAACTCTAAAAGATCAACATTAACATTAACCTAAACAGTTATGGTGTTGGATTTGGATTTATGATTTATAGTTTAGATATAAGATCTAAGGTTTGAGTTTAGGGTATAGAGTTTGAGTTTATAGTGTAGAGTTTGAGTTTATAGTCTAGAGTTTAGGGTTTAGGATTTGAATTTAGGGTCTAGGATTTAGGGTTTGGTTTTAGAGGCTAGAGTTTAGATTTTAGAGTACAAAATTTAGATTTAGATTTGATTTTAGAGAATAGGGTTTAGGATATAGAGTTTAGGATCTAAGTTTTAAGTTTAGGGTATAGGGAGCAGAGATAAAGTTTAGGATATAGAGTTTGGTTTAGGGTATAGAGTTTGGGTTGAGGGTTATGGTTTAGGTTTAGGGTATAAGAATCAAATTTATGATTTAGTTGGTGATCTAAACCATATACCCTAAACCCAAACTATATGCCCTAAAATCTAAACCATAGATCCTAAATCCAAACCCTATACCCTAAACCCAAACCCTAACCATAAAACCTAAACCCAAACCCTAACCATAAAACCTTAACCCTAAACTCTAATACCTAGATCCTAAATCTTAAACCCAAACCTTAGATTCTAAACCTAAACCCTAAACCTAAACTCTAAACCTAAATCCTGAATTTAACCCTAACTTGTAAATCAAAATCTTAAATTCTAACTTTAAACTCTAAAAGAACAACATTAACATTAATCTAAACATTTATGGTGTTGGATTTGGATTTATGATTTATAGTTTATATATAAGATCTAAGGTTTGAGTTTAGGGTATAGAGTTTGAGTTTATAGTATAGATTTGAGTTTATAGCCTAGAGTTTAGGGTTTAGGATTTGAATTAGGGTCTAGGGTTTAGGGTTTAGGGTTTATGGTCTAGGATTTAGGGTTTAGGGTTTATGGTCTAGGATTTAGGGTTTGGTTTTAGAGGCTAGAGTTTAGATTTTAGAGTATAGAATTTAGATTTAGATTTGATTTTAGAGAACATGGTTTAGGATATATAGTTTAGGATCTAAGTTTTAAGTTTAGGGTATAGGGAGCGGATATAAAGTTTAGGATATAGAGTTTGGTTTAGGGTATAGAGTTTGGGTTGAGGGTTATGGTATAGGTTTAGGGTATAAGAATCAAATTTATGATTTAGTTGGTAATGTTTAAATCGTTATTTTTTTAGTTATTTTAATTAAAAAATAATTATTTAATATTTTTATTTATTAATCTATATGATATTTTGATTGGTTATTAAGAATAAAAGTAAATCTAAGAGCATGTTCATTGCAATAATCTCAAAAAAGGTTCTTAATCAATAATTAATTATTAAAATCAAATTAAAATTTTGTGTTAAGAGTCACTTACTTTAACTCCTCCAATGGTAATTTCTTAAGTTATGAATTCTTCAACCATTCTCTTTTCCTCTTTTCTCTTCACCACTTCTTCAACCATTCCCTCTTTCTCCTTTCTCTTCGCCAATTCTTCAACCATTCCCTTTTTCTGGTTGTACACACAAACAAAAAGAACAAACAATCAATTTCTTGGTTATATGTATGTTTCTAGCAGGATAATGAAGATGAGTTTGACAGGAATAGTCACCGTATCATCCACTCTCAAAACTTACTAAACTCATCAAAGCCTTATGAAGAAAATAGCAAAACTTACTTCTTTCTTGGACACTCCTCTCCTTTCATCTCTACTACATTCTCCACATCAAGACAGAACAATTACTTCTTCCTTCTACAATTCTCCTTAAAGGCACTTCCTTTAACAACTGTGGACTCATAAATATTTCTCTTTGATCACTTCCAGCAACGGCTTTCTTTCCTTCTTCAACTCCATCTCATGAACAGAGTAAGGCTGATGATGATGATGAGTCTCGTTAACTTCAATCTTCCCAGTAGTATCTTCTCTTTCAGTAACCCTTGTAGCCTATCTCTTCAACTCATAGCAGAAATCTGAGATGTGTCCAAAAAAATCTCTCCCTCAGAACAGATTTCTAGCTGATTGTGTGCTCTTTAGCTTCGGTGTCTCCTTATTCATCTTCTTTGCCGAAGATGACTTGAATGCTGCTCGCTATGATCTTAGAGGCGTGGCTGAGTTTGGATTCTGGTTTTCACTGTCTTCATGTCCCCTCCACCTACAAATTCAATGGAAATAATATTAGAGTATGAAAAAAAAAACATAAGCTGAAGATTTTTCAAGAAACATCTCGAGGTAGTACCTTTTATTCTTCTCTGTAATAGATCCTGGTGTTTGAGCATCAAAGATATGCAGAGATGAGGCAAGAGATTGATACCAAGTTTGCAGAACCAAGCGTCGTCTACGAAGTCTAAGTGGTTAGGGGTCAAGAAGTCGAAATATTTTGGAGCTCGGAGGTGTTCGTAGAAAACGTCTTCCACAAAGCGTGAATCAATTCGCTTCTGGTCGATCTGAGCAGGCTCCATTAGAGAGAGAATACTCAGAGATCGGGAGAGAGAGAGAGAGAGAGAGAGACAGTAAACGATTGATTCTGTGTGTTTGTTGGTTGGAGGAGCGCCACTGAGATCCTCTGTCGCTGAAAGGCACCAAAATTCTTCATCAATAAAGACGGAGAAAATCCATGAGGACGGAGACTTTGTCGATTTCGTATTTTCTTCTTCTCCCAAAATCACAATTTCAGTCCCCTTCCTACACGTGGTAACCAAGAGCCGGATCTTTAAACCCTCAATTAAGAGCTGATTCTTAGTTAATTATCATTTTATCTTTTCTTTTAATTACAAAAATCATTAAGCAACCTCCTTAAGAATCTGCATTGAACATGCTCTAAGAGGTGAAGTCCAATTTTATTCGTCTAATTTGCAAGTGTTCCTCAAATAAAAGATTTCCGTCGGTGACCGGTGGTCTTTACCGCCGGTTACCATCTTCTTCTTTTGTTTTTTGTTGTAAATACCTTCGATCAATGAATCGAACTCTCTTCACGTAGGTGATCTTGTTTTCGTTAGGCGATTTTGGTGTGTTAAGCTTTAATCAAAACAGTCCTGATTATCATTCGTATCATTTCTCTGTTTTGAGTTAAAGCTGAATAAAGTTCTCAAGTTAAACTTCATCTCTCATACTTTAACTTATTTATTTCTGTTTGTCTCTAAAATTTTCTTCTTCTTTATCTGGTCATGCTTGATCTTCAAATTTGAAGAAATCAATCTTTGCTTCATATGATTTTGGCAAAGTATTCAGATGATTTGAAGAATTGAGTTTTTTAAAGTGGGTTTGTGGTTTGGTACAATTTAAGAAAAGACAGAGTTTGTTCTATAGACAAACGTTCTGTCAAAGGCTATGTCCTAAATCAGGTAAAGCTTCTTGAATATGTTCACATCAGGTAAAGATTTTTAGAGGCAACAACGATTGAGAGATTGAAGAATGCAAATGGAATCAAAATTGGGTTTAATCTTCGTGTTTGGGAGGAATAGACTCGTCGGAGTTCAATTCGGTGACTTTGCCAGAGAAAGACGCAAGAAGACACAATCCTTTCTCTTTGAGCGACACGTGGAGCCAGTTAAGAGATGATGGATGGACAACTGCCTCAATATTGTTCGTCCTTATCTTATAAATTAAGGTTTAACTACTCAATATTTGTAATGGGTTGGAATTCCATTTGTAACAAATGCCTTTGGGCTTTTAATATAAAGGTTGACAAAAAATAAATTTGCTCAAATTTACTATTATTCACATAAGAGGCCAAGTACTGTACTTAGCAATTGTTACTGATTTGGGCAATATTTAGAATGATATATATTTGTTTATGAGCCGAATCTCAATCCGGAGAGCCAATTTGAAGTTTGATTCCAGTTTGCATGGAACAATCCAGTAGTAGTACACTAGTGAAAGCTTTGTTGAAGAACAAGAAGAATCCGAGACTAGCATGGAGACTGTACAAGAGGATCTTCTCTTCTCCTTCACAAGAGAGCCACGTCACATCTCTATCCGCATCACCCACCATCGCTCGTATCCTCGTCCAAGCCCGAATGCAAGAAGAGATGGACGAGCTTCACAGTCTAATCCTCTCCTCGTCACTCCAAAACGCGAAAGCTTCACCCTTACTCTCCGTCGTATCAATCTTCGCGAAATCAAATCACATCGACAAGGCGTTCTCTCAATTCCAGTTCGTCCGGTCGCGTTTCCCTGAGAAGGGTCCCGGAATCTATTTGTACAACGTGTTGCTTGAAGGTTGCATCAAAGAGAGGCGTGTAGATTTCGTTTCGTGGTTGTATAAGGATATGGTGCTCTCTCGGATTGCTCCACACACTTATACCTTCAATTTATTCATCCGTGCTTTGTGTGATTCAAGTTGTGTTGACGCTGCACGTGAGTTGTTCGACGAAATGCCTGAGAAAGGTTGTAACCCAAATGAGTTTACTTTCGGGATCTTGGTTCGTGGGTATTGTAGAGTTGGCATGCCTGATAAAGGACTTGAGTTGTTGAATTTAATGGAGGGTTTTGGGGTTTCGCCTAATAAAGTCGTGTATAATACCATTGTTTCAAGTTTCTGTACACGAGGTAGGAACGATGATTCTGAGAAGCTAGTGGAGAAGATGCGAGGGGAAGGTTTGGTTCCTGACATTGTAACTTTTAATGCTAGGATATCGGCGCTTTGTAAGGAAGGAAAAGTTCTTGACGCCTCTAGGATTTTCAGGGATATGGAGCTAGATGAGTTTCTGGGTCTTCCTCGTCCAAATAGGATAACGTACAACTTGATGCTGAAAGGATTCTGCAAGGTAGGGATGCTGGAGGAAGCTAAGACCCTCTTTGAGTTGATTAGAGAAAATTATGATCTTTGTGGTTTGCCGAGTTACAATATTTGGTTGCAGGGATTGGTCAGACATGGGAAGTTTATAGAGGCTGAAACAGTCCTTAAGCAGATGATTGATAAGGGAATATGGCCAAGCATATACTCTTATAATATTTTGATGGATGGATTATGCAAATTGGGCATGCTATCTGATGCAAATGCTATCGTTGGCTTAATGAAAAGAAATGGTGTCTCCCCAGATTCGGTAACTTATGCATGTCTTCTACATGGTTATTGCAGTGTTGGGAAAGTCGACGCAGCTAAAAGCCTATTGCAGGAGATGATGAGGAATAATTGCTTACCAAATGCTTATACTTGTAATATTTTGCTTCATAGGCTTTGGAAGATGGGGAGAATGTCTGAAGCAGAAGAGTTGCTGCGAAAGATGAATGAAAAAGGTTATGGTCTAGATACTGTTACTTGTAACATTATAGTTGATGGGCTCTGTGGAAGTGGCGAATTAGATAAAGCTATTGCGATTGTTAAGGGAATGCGGGTGCATGGAAGTGCTGCTCTTGGTAGATTAGGAAATTCATATGTTGGGCTGGTGGATGACAGCATGAACGAGAACAATTGCTTGCCTGACCTGATCACGTATTCAACCTTACTTAATGGTTTCTGCAAAGCCGGAAGGTTCGCTGAAGCAAAGAAGTTGTTTTCTGAGATGATGGCACAGAAACTCCAACCGGACTCTGTGGCATACAACATTTTCATCCATCATTTCTGCAAACAGGGGAAAATATCATCTGCATTTCGCGTTCTCAAAGACATGGAGAAGAAAGGTTGTCATAAGAGTCTAGAGACTTACAACTCACTGATCCTGGGCTTAGGCATACAAAATCAGATATTTGAAATTCACGGATTGATGGATGATATGAAAGAAAAAGGCATTTCTCCTAATATCTGCACCTACAATACTGCAATTAAGTATCTTTGTGAGGGAGAAAAAGTTGAAGATGCAACTACCCTCTTAGACGAAATGATGCAGAAAAACGTAACCCCAAATGTCTTTTCCTTCAAATATTTAATAGGAGCGTTCTGTAAGGTCCCGGACTTTGATATGGCTCAAGAAGTTTTCGAGACTGCTGTAAGTATCTGTGGACAAAAGGAAGTCCTTTACAGCTTGATGTTCAATGAGTTGCTTGCTGCAAGGCAACTCTTAAAGGCCACAGAGTTGCTTGAAACTGTTTTAGATAGAGGTTTTGAGTTGGGGGATTTTCTATATAGAGATCTTGTTGAGAGCTTATGTAAGAAGGATGAGCTAGAAGTAGCTAGTGGAATTTTGCGTAGGATGATAGATAAAGGATACGGGTTTGACCCTGCTGCATTGATGCCTGTGATAGATGGCTTGGGTAAGATGGGAAATAAGAAAGAGGCAAATGAATTTGCTGAGAAGATGATGGAAATGGCTTCAGTTGGTAAAGTAGCAAACAAAGTCGATCCAAATGCGAGGGATTTGCACCAGAAAAAGCAAAATAAATACGGTGGAAATAACTGGCAGAATATATTGCACAGGTATTGTTATTTAAGATGCTCTTGTTTGAGGGTTTAAAGTTCTGGTTTGGAAAAAAAAAAGTTCCCAAGATTTGGAGTGCATTCATGCACTTTATTAGAGAAAGGACTCTTTGATTCCCACAGAGTTCACATGAGAGAATCATTATAAATAAAAATTTTCAGAAACCTAATGAATCATCAATTGCTATTTTGCAGAGATGACGGAAGTGGAATTGCACTAAAATCTCTGACAAGGGTGAAAAAAGGATGGGGTCAGGGGGATACATCAAGCTTTCAGCCTCCGAGAGTTGATTACTTAGATTACTGGGAGGACGATGTTTAGAGATATTGCATGAATCTGTCTTCTATATGATTGGAAAGTTCAGATGACGGTCAAGCTCAAATTTCAGGTGCAGCTCATCAAGGATGCAAAGACGAGTTTTAGTTGACAGGTACACAGGTAGGAAGAAACTAGAACTTGAAAGAACCTAGCAAAAACCAACACTGAGGATAATGAAACAAGAAATATTTTTTTTGATGCAAGTTAAGTTGCACTACTAACAACCTTCTGATACATAGAGACTTCTATGATTTTTTTGAAAACAAGAAGTAACGTAGAGTAAGAATGGACTTGCAGCAGTAACTTTCTTCATCGAGTGGCATACTCTTTCGATCATTGTCTCCATGCTCATGTATACGAGTTTAGTCTTATTATAGTAGCTCAGGTAGCCTTATAGTAAAAGCATCGTCGGACACTGATAATGTAATGGAATCTAATCTATTTAGAAAGACCTTCATGTTCGGTGAAACTTTAGTAGAGTCTGACCTTCATATTCTGTTTCTTTTGTCTTTACAGCTAAAGCCAGTAGAAGCAGGCAAGATGATAGATTTGGACACAGATATGATGTAAGAAAGACGTTTTCAAGGGTACTAAAAGTAAATATTGCATCACAGAAAGTTGCCAGACCAAGCTGGTGGAGAAAATGAGGAGAAGAGCCGCCCACTTTCATATTGAATTTGAAGCCAACTTTGAATTTCGGGTCAGAGGAACACAACCTACCTAATTGGAAAAATATGTGAGGCTGCTACTATTCTTGTGCTTTTTTAACAATAGGTGGTACAATAGGTGGTACAAAGCGACTAAGTATGTTTTAACAAAAGATCATTTAAAAGTGGGTAGATCATATTCAACATAGTGAACTGCATATTCTACAATCATGTTACATTCTTTTCATGTTCCTCGGCTATGATCAACGAAATCAAGGATTAGATAGTAATACAACGATCCTGAAACTAGAGATTAAATAAGTGAAAACACACATAATAATTCACTCTGTAGTTGCTGAGCTTATTAGACAAGATAAACAATGATTGTACAGGCATAAAATACAAGTTTCTGTATGCAACGCCTATACACAAAAATCTGCAGGCAATGCAGGAAGTTACTACTGGCTACTGCCACTTGCAAAATGGTCTTCAGGGCACTGGAAATATGTTTGCACATGGAGATTTCTAAACAGCTAGTAGATTAGCACCATCTTTCTGGGGCTTTGTATGTTACAAACCTTGCTTCGATTGTTTATTAGGATGGACAAGAGCTACCAAAAGAACCTCCCAGTTTAACTTGAAAAGGGTCGTGCAAACTTATTTTAATTGTTTGGCTCTGTGATGATCGATATATGTCGATGCATTCCTCGAGATCTGCTTCACATGTGAGAAGAACCCACTCCTTATCATCATCCAAGTACTTGAGATCAAACCAGGAAGCGTCATCTATGTTGAAACGCCTAGCAATCTCTTGCTGCAGCTCTCTGTAGCCCCAGCTCGGGAGTAAGGTAAACCGTATTATGGCCTCACCAAATGTTGCTTTCACTTTAAAGGCCCCTCCAGGTCTTAAGCTCATGTTGCTACTACCTGGTAATGGAGGCTCCTTGAATATGTTATGGCTCTGGGTTCTTGCTGGACATTTTGTTTCCTCCTGATTCCCATTCTGCAGTTCCGCCTCGAGGTGAGCTTTTTTCAAGACCCCATCAGCATCCTCAGCAACATGCAGAGTATTTGGAGTATTGGTGTTTGAACCAGAGCAAGAAGATGATGGTGACCTTGGTGCTGGTTTCTCCTCTCCCGGACCACCGTTTTCGGTTGGAACATTCAAATACCGTAACTGTTCATTATTTTTCAAGCAAGAGCCATTGCTGGAGATATTTGGGGAGCTCAACTCTGGGAAGCTTGTATAGAATGAATCGAGTGGGATAGATCCCTGTGCACCTTGAACAGAGTCCATAACAAGTTGGAGTTTCTTCAACGAATGCCCAACCTTCTTGATTTTGCGTGAGGGCCATCTTGTTATTCCATGGTGCCTGCATATCCTTTTCAAGGTAGTTGGACAAACTGCAACATAGAACAAAACCCTGTCACATCACTGTCTGAAGCAATAAATAGGTATGTTGAAAATGCTGACAGAGCACACTGATCCACTACATTACAGATATTTGAATGTAAAGAAAAATTCTGGTCCTCGTATAAGATATGTGTCCTCATGCTTGAATTTTAGTGTTACATATTCATTTGGGCTTGGACTAAAGATCGTAGTGTTTAGGACGCAAGAAGAATCAAACTTCATTAAGAGTGAAGCTATGCTTATACAACAATTTCTTACCACCAATGCTCTTGGCTGCATCCTTGAGGCTTCCTGCAAAGTATTGACGAAGAACATCCAAGCCAATGATCTTTTCTGTTTTTGTTCTTCTCTTTTCCCCTGGTCTTCTACTCCCTAACTTATTTCCACCACCAGTTGAAGCTGATTCGGTACTTGGACCAGCGTCAACTCTGAATCCTAAAGTTGAACCTTGTTGAAACTGCTCAGCTTCTGAAGGAATATTATTGGGGGCTGGATCAAGCTGACTGTTGTCCCAGCCAGATGAGAGCTTGAACTCATCTTTCGGGTCTTCATTCTGGTACTCCCAAGAAAGTGACACCTCTTTACCCTTCTCGTTAGCCTTTATCATGTGGGAGATCCATGAGGACTCTTGAAGCAGATGAATTTCTCTTAAAGCCTCTGCAGTTTCTGCTCCAGTTAGTGGGTTCTCTGACAACACCATGTCCTCTCTAACAGGCAATACGACTTCTAACTCTAGTTCTTTGTCGATGACAAGATTTGAACTCCTGAAATCCTGCTGCAGAGTCACAGACAGTGACTTGAGCATTTCCTGTTTTGCTTCAGTGTCGAGGCACCCTTTTGGAAAAAAGAATTCCAGCACAAACTCGACCAAACCATTGCATTTTCTCTTTAACGGAACTGCTAAAGCCGCGTGTAGTCCAGATATCTTGGCGTGGTGTGCAAGAGGGTAGTTAGTCTTGCTAAACGTGGTCACCTCAGGCACAAAACACAGTTTGGTTGCCTTGAATGCTTTCCCAACAATGCCTTCTCCCTGGAGAAGATGGTGTTCAGAGCATGCCTCCAGAAAGTATTTGCTCTGCTCATCCAGGACAAAGCAAGCTGAATCGATTGTCGAAACGCACTGAGAAAAGTTCTCATCAGAATGTCGGGATCCACCTTTCCCATGCCGTGCACACGGTGCCCATGACAAAGCTAGAGGCAAATCATATGTCCTGCAGACTGAGGCCAAGAAATCTGATATCTCAGGTAAGGCAGCGTAGTAGAAATCATTATACACCTGCAAGGACTGAAACATGGAGTATGAGCTTAGCAACGCAAATCATTGTTTCTATGACCTGAATGAAGTAACAGTGCAGTTCATTCAAAAAAAAAAAAAAAAAAAAAGAGAAGAAGTAAGAGTGCAGTTAATGCACCTCAATGCTTGGAGGTTTTAAGTTACTTGAACTCCTTAAATCGACAGCCTGCAAAAAGAACAACATCTTTAAGCTTCTCATTGCTGTTACACAGGACCAAACAAGATTATGACCTAATAACTGACACATAGAAACATTGATGCAGAAAGACAGAAGAAGAGAAAGCATAGTCCAAACATATGCAGAAGAGAACTGGTGGATTCATAAAGAGCACAAACAGAAAGCCCTCCAGTGAAATAGACATTCAAGCCAAGGTTTTAATTCAGGAAGAAGAGTAAAACCTCAAGAGCTTTACAGATATTCTCAAGTTCTGGCCGGTAATTCATCTTCTGAGTTGTTGTGACGACCTCAACAACACCCAAACAAGTCCCACTACATCTTTCAAACACAGGAAGGGCAAGAGACCCACGAACATCACACTTTTGTGCTTCCTTGATGCGCGGATACTCTTCACTTCTAAAGAAACGTACATCAGGAGTCCACTCAGGAAACTTCTGCAGGAAAACACGACCGGGAAGGCCCCCTTCTGTGGATCCCTCATCAGCTGGAAAGTTATAAGTCTCTGAAACATGTCTGTATTTTGCAAGGCTAGAGTATTTTTGGTTGAACAAATGTGGTTGCGCCAAAGTGGTTAAAAAGTTCTTCCCTTCCTGCTGAAATGGCACCCATATCTGCACCAAGAAGTCTTTATCAGGCACTGCCTCTTCAAGACCGCTTATAGCTCTTAATAGCCTCTCCTTAACAGACAGTCCTTCACTTGTTCTTGGAGCAATCCACCAACTTCTTCCCACCTCAGCTTCCTCTAGAAGAAACTTTTCTGCTTGCTCAGAACTTGTTTCAAACTCGTTAAAAGGTTCTTGAATCATTCTCTCTGTTTCTTCATTGGAGAATTTATCTTGAGATGGGCTCTCACCAAAGCATAGGAAAGGGATATTGTCATTCATGGCCGTGGAAGCTGATGCAGCTTCTTCTGTCTCCTTCAAGCTCTTACTATCTGTCGTCTCTAGCCAACATCCATCAAACAAGAGCTCATCCATGAAATCTAAATCCATGGCGGTCTCAGGGAATGCCCCAAAACTAGAATTAGGTGAAAAGCCACCATCTCCTTCTCCCCCATCCCTACCACCATCATCTTCCATATCTAAACCCATAGGCGTCTTGAAGATGAAAAAGACACGAGTAAAGTCCAATAATTAAATGGATCCTCCTCAGTGTGTTAAAACCCAATCTGGAAAAAAGAATGCAGAAACATAATCAAAAACCCATCCAAGACACAAAAGAAAAGAAGCATCAAACTGTTGTTTTCCCAACTTTCAATATAATAAGTGCTTTTTCTAAAGAATGAGATCAGAGATACTATAAAAATTATGATATAAGCAGCTTCTCTTTCAATGAAGAGTTGACTTAAAAGAGGGTATCAATCAAAGTAGTGCCATCAATTTTAAGTAGAAGATTCTCCCCTATGCACATGGAAACTCTACCATAGAACAATCATTGAAGCTAAACCAAATAAATATCTTATCTTGTGACTGAAAACCCCAAAAAAATTCAAAGAGATTTAGTAAAGGTTGTAGAAAAACTTACCAACTTTATCAAGATTTTCTTGCACAAAAGAGAGAGAAAGCTTCAGTTTGGGGTGGGTTTATGACCTAACCCAAGAACACAGAGAAAACACTGACAACAAACAAAGATTTGGTTTGCTCTGTGTGATATAAAAGAAGATGATGTTCTTCTACATACACAAAACACCCATCACAAGAATGAATGATGTCTTCTGAGAAAATAAGAAAAATAAAAGCTGCGAGATTTCTTTTCTCACAAAACTACTGTCTTTTGTGGAATGGTGTTTTCTTTTTTCTTCTGGACACAAGTAGCTGATTGAAGGTAAGATTAAGCCATTATAATCTCTAATCATGTGACTGATATGGGCTTAAAGATTCTTTCCCGGGGACAAAGTGGACCCCTGATAAGTGCATCCACTGTTATAATCACACTAACTTTGTCTTGTCCTACAATATATAAAAACTAAGGAACAGTTTCCTGTTTTATCAAAGACAAATCGAACTTGATCTGCTTTTCTTCTTCAAGAACGAAAGAAAACGTTTGGAGCTGAGATGCTAAATGGTCTTGTCAATGGTGTGCTTGTTGTCCCCTCTTTGTCCAGATTCCTTTGCCCCTATTGATTAATATAATCATATTATGAGAAAATGATTAAAATAACATTAAATTTTTTTTTTTTACAAATATAGTACTTAAAAATAAAAATCACCAAAATAATACTTAATATTTTATCGAAAGAGAAAAATCTATAGCTATATCCCAATGATACACTAATTTAGGTATCTATACTATTAAAGCAGAATCCTAATAAGGATTCTGCCCTTAGTTTTTGCAGTTATTTACATTGAATTGCCATTACATTTAATTTTTATTCTTGATATTACTTATTTAAATTTAATTTAATTTTGTGTATGAAAATATTCTAAAAGAACAATAAATCCATCTAAAGCACCAATCACCCCTACATTACGGGAGTATATCATTTATTTTTACGGAAGTATATCTTAATAATGAAATATATTTGAACACTAAATATTTGCTTTTTTCAACAAACGAACTATTCATTCATTGTTTATAAAATATATGAAACCATGAACAACATCATATTATAGCTGCAGGCGTTTTCAAAAACACATATTACAGAAATTGTTATTATTAGTCTTAATTACAAGCCTGTTTTATATAATATATGAAAAATCTTAATCCATCTTATTTTATACTTAGTTAATATATATTTATACCATATTTTAACAATTTTATACTACATTACACAATCTCATTATAAAAAGATGA